AATGGGAGGTCTTGTCCAGTGTCCCTGGACTTTGAGCAGTAATTGCTCAAGGATGACCTTACCTAATTTTAAGAATTATACTTGTTCAATAAAATGTCGCTGTATGGCCTGGCTGGCGCGGCACAGCGGTTGAGCATTGATCTGTGATCCAGAAGATCTCGGTTCAATTCCTGGTCATGTTGTGGGCTAGACCCCCAGTGGGGAGTGTGCAGGAGGAAGCTATCAATGACTCATCATTGATGTTTCTCTCTCTCTCCCCTTCTTCCTTCCTCTCTCTGAAATCAATACAGATATTTTTAAAAAATAAAAAGTCACCGTATGTAAATAAAACTGGGTAAGAAGCACATTCATTCTGCCTTCTTGGCCACTCTTCTGCTTCTTTCACTTTCCTGAAGTTTCATTCGCTAATCTACAGTCTGAGTTTGCAGCATGTCTCAGTGACTGGAATGCTATTCTTCAGTCCTGTTCTTGTTACTGCCCACACTCCTAAACCACTTAGCATTCCTGAATCCACTAGAGCTGAGGACCCCTAGCTCTGCTGCAAAGCAATAGGCCGAGGCTCGTCCAGGCCGCCCCAGGTTGCCTCTGCGGTGGTGACGCGAACGCCCTTTGTGGGAGGGCCTACAACTCGCCCCTGGTACTGGTAGAGTTCGGGAAGCCTCCAGCCGGTTTCAGGGTAACTCAGTCAAGTTCTACCCACACAGCTCTCCCTGGGGTCCAGCTCCCCCCTGAGCTTTGGCTCTTTGTGGGCAGGGATGAAGTCTCACTGACTTTTACTGCCCCAAAACAATACCCAGTACAGACTGGAGGCCCCACTGCTATTTGAACTTAAAAGATCTCTTCACATAATAACTTTCATAAGTGTACGGCTTATTGTGTGAAAGCAATAGTTAAATTTTTCTGAAAGAAAAAAGAAAACCTAATTCAGAGATCATTTAGTGAGTACTGACGCCAAAATATGGTAAAAACTTCACCCTATTCATTGACTTACCCTGTTCTGGACATAATATACCCTTTTTTATTCTTTCTCTTTCAAGCCAAAGATTCCCTCTTGGCTTATTTTCATTTTCAGGAAGTAATTTCTTATGTGCTTTTCTATATTAATAAAAATGAAGAGACTAAATGCGGGTTCTATTAAATACACTTGGCCCGTCTCCCGCTTAGCAGGCTGAACTAGTGATCCGCCGCGGCAGGGAACGGCGCGCCCTCCTCCCAAGTCTTGAAACGTGTCGCCGAAGCAATCCGGTGGGCTCTTTCCGCGTGCTGCCCGTATTTCTACACTTGCATAACCTTCTCCAAGGAGACAGTCTTTTGAAGGCCTCTTCGTCTGGGGCTCAGCACAAAGTAGGCACTCACAACACACTGGCTGTGAAAATAATGAATCAAGGAGTAGAGGGAAACCTGACAATTTCCTGACAGGAGATGGTTGAACATGGACAAGTCCTTCCTAAGAAGCTAAATGCAGATGTTTCAGTGACAATGCTAGCAGCACCAACCAGAAGATTTTAGCTTTTTAAGGATCCTGGATTTATTGGTCCATCAGCAGCAATAGAAGTGGAAAAGCGATTTTGAATTTGGTGGAATACTTCTGATCTGCTCCTGGTGCTTATGAAATGTAAGACTCCTGCTTAGCAGTGCCTGTCATTCCTTATTCTTTTCTCCAAACTTGAGGATCTCTCTGCAAATGTTACTTGAAAGATAACTGGTATATCAGTCCCTTCCCTTACAAAGTTTGTTGATGCCAGACTTAAATAGTGGATTTTTTGGTTTTATATTTCTTCTAAGGCCGTCTTTGTACAATTAAACGTCAGGCCACGAAAGGTGAATTTAGGGCAGCTGACTGAAGAAGTTGGAGACGTGAAAGCTTTCTGTGAGTGTGTGTAGAGGTCCGGGCACACAGCATGCAGAAGGGGAACGCAAGGCCTTGTGAATGGAATGCCTCTCTCCTTGACCTGTTTTGACCAAACTTTATTTAATGGAGTTATGACAAAGAGTAGGAATCAAAACACATGGGGATCACAGAGGCTGTTATGTTTATTGTGCAGAACAGACAGTGATAATCCACTAGAGAAATATTTCCAACAAGCAAGCGATTCAAAGTACAATCATAGACAGCAACTCTACATGAAGAACAAAGAATAAAGTTAGAAGACACGCGGAGGAACAGGGAGAAAGTCAACTGCAGTTAAACGTCTTGATACTTTTCTCCTGCAAATATGCAGAAATGGTAGAAAAGTTAAATGTCCAGTCTTACTTAGCCGAGACCAACAACAGCAAAGAACAGTCCTATAAAATTTATCTCCCACAAAAATAAACTATATATATAAAAATTTTATGATGTTCTTACTGTTCCATTGGCCACAAGCTTTTTTTTTTTTTTTTCAGTATGAAAAATGAGGTATACTGGGGCTTAAGAGGTAGTAGTGTGTTTTGATTGTACAAAGTAGAGGAAATAAAACAGTAACTTCATCAGAGATGGAAATTGCTCGGTTTCCGAGTTTGGCCAACATGAGCAACTGTGTCAGTTTTATGAGCTGGCCAATGAGGTTCCAGAAAGACCCGACCAAAGACATGGAACGGGACTGTTATTTTTATGAGCCACTGTTTATTTGCTTATTTAATGCACAGTTAACAGTGATGTTGAGTTTTAATTCTCTCCATAGCTCCTTTGGCGATTCACAACAGTGAGCCATCTGCCAGCCTGAGAGAGGTATGTGGTCTTTGAAGCTACCTCCCTGAAGCGGCTGGGAGAGAGATGGTTTTGAGTTTCATTTGGCCTCAGAACTAAAAGCCTCACTGACACATGCCCTCATGAGAAACTACCTCCTGGCCCAGTTGATAATACCATGTTAAAAAGTCAGCACACTTACTAGAAGAGAAAAGAATAAAAACTCTACATAAGAAGCGCTTAAAATAAATCTGGCTGAGACATATTACAAAAGTCACATTTGTGTAAAATACATGAAAATCTTTGTCAAGCATTTTCTCATATTCAACTAATCTTAAAAACACCTATTTCTGATTGCATCGCAGAAGCCGAGCTTGTTGCCTCTCACCTACAAAGCTTCAAGTTTCTTTGAAGGTCGGCTTTCTTTAATTTATTTATTTGCAAAAGTATGTAAAAAATGTGTTCCTCTCTAGCAAACGTCTTTTACAAAAATAGTTTTGACTAAGGGGTAGCTGCAGTTTGAACTACGTCAAACGTTGACAAAAATGAAGGCTGCAAGTAAGAAGTTCACTCCTTTTGAAGTTTGGAGGTAGGTCTTTGCAACTCAATTAGTCCATTTCCTTAAACAATTCATCTGAGGTACAAACTTGGAGGGTGATATTTAAACATTACAGTCAAATTCTGTGTGATGTGTAGTGCGATTGAGGAAAATGATCCTTAAGAACCTAGGAGCGACTTGGTTAAAAAAAAACAACAACTATTCAAGTTAATGTAGAAATCTAGCAGAGAAGCTGAAACAAGTATTTGCAAAATTTTAATTAAAAAAAAAAAACACCATAGAAAAATACATAGCCATGCTGAAACACAGTAAGGAGACTGCTTTGTTAACTGTAGTTTAGGTGTACAAAAAGAACCGCCATTCGCAGAACCTACCCAGTAAGGTTTTTTTTCTTTCTTGCATTGTTTGTGTATAGCAGCATGTAAAAAGTACTAGACTGTAAATTAATTGTAACATTCAGAGGTAGTATTGAGTAGTGGGGATATATTGCATCTCTGGCTAAAAGTGCAGTTTGAATGAAGAGACGGTGAGCTGAAGCCAAAGAAAGGCGCCTCAGTCAGCCATCCTATGTCAAAACGTGTTATGTGAAGTAACACATAAGCTTAGTTTGAGGTAAGTGGTATTTAGGTCTTTCACCGGAAACTGATACACATGGAAAGAGACAGACAGAGAGAGAGACAGAGAGATTGCTTTTTTTGATTTTTAAATTGTAGCATAACTATAGCAAAAGAAATTTAGATTTCGCTCCTCCTACCTCATAATTCCGGTGAGTTCATCATGCATTGTTCTTGTACCTTTTCATTAAATTACAAAGAAGGTGATTTTACTTGTCTAGGTTCCTTAAATGCGTTGAGGGCTGACAAGTGGGATTTATTGCTAAATGGCGTTTGGCTCTGTAGGAAGTAGATTCTACCCGGACGAGTGTTTTTCCTGAAAGAGTGCGACGGGTACGTGTATGCCTCCTACTGATATGTGTGATATCCATAAATACAGGAGGTGGCGACACTTGTTTGCTTACTTCCCTTTTTGAAAAATGAGCATAACCTTTTCTGGCCTGTTAGCTGAATGAAAGGATACATCAGCATTTCGTCTCGTTTAGAAATAAAAGTTAAAAATCATCAAGTAAGTGTCTACAAGATTATACGAAAAAGAGAGAAGTCGTATCTATTCCTATCTTTGGTGTCCTACACAGAAGCTTCACTACGCGAGCGGGTTGGGTGGCGTTGGAGGCGGACAGTGTCACACACTGCGCCTGTCCTACGTGAATGCCCAGCGTCACGGGGGTGACACGATTCTGGTTTGTATGCAGTGCAGTGATCGACTAAACCTGATTCAGTTTTCCTCACCCACCCACTCCTGCTTATCAGATCAACAAACTATTAGTAGGTTAAGAAAAAAGAAAACAGTAATTAAATGTTGCATTGTTAAATTGTGTCCCCTGTGTTTACAGCAGTTTTTCACTAAACCTGGGACTGTGAAGGGATTACAAAGAAGGTGATTAATATAGTCCTTTTTAAGGTTATGTGATTTCTTTTTTCTTAACCTAC